ATAAAACTTCCGTCTTGAATCAATAAAAAAGCTACTGAGGGGCACTTTGCCGGTTGACGAGGAACACTTAAAGCAGGGGTATTTAAAATCACTGCAGAGAAGTTCCTACTCGGCGGGCCTCGTTCGACAGGCTGCGGCGATTCGTAGATGCCCCGGACGTGACGAGGACCTTCGTTCTCTCTCGTGTCCGACTCTAGTGATCCACGGCCAGCAGGATGTGCTGATGCCACCTGCCCACGGCCATCGCACAGCGTCTGTGATACCGCGTGCCAAGTTGGTAATCCTGGAAAGCATGGGGCATTACTTTCATCCCGCCTTTTTTACCCCAATTATTTCCCATTTTGTGGAGGTTGCAAATGCATGTGAAGAAAATGGTAAGTACGGGAGACCTATTGGACTTAATATTCCGTATTGTATATCCTCCTTTCCTGGCGTATCTGTGGAGGAGAAGTCTTCCTCTTGCACGGAGGAGCGGCATTTGGGTCGTGCTGAAGCGTCACTTTCTGTGCATCCACCAGACAAGGTCACAAAAACGGAAATGCCGTTGAATGGACAGACAGCGATATGTGCTTGCAGTAATACTACCGGAGAGAGTGCAGATGTCAGCTTTGTGGCGTGCAGGTGCGCTTCGGAAATTTCTGTTGAAGATGTTCGACAAAACATATTGGAGGAGCAATTAGCAGAAGCTTCACTGGTGAATACCCCAGAGACTAGTATAAACCAAGAGTGAGCCACACAACAGGTACATAAGTATACATATTTATATACATGTAAGTGTCGGTATCTATCAATCTATTTACCTATATATATATATCCATCCCTATATATCCATCCCTATATATCCATCCCTATATGCATATACATATATGGATCTGGGGTGAGAAACTTATTATATATATATATATATATATAAAGGAATATGGAGGCATTATGGGAATGGATATTTGTAAGCATTTCTTTTTCTCTTTCTCTCTCTCTCTCTCTTTCTTTTTTTTTTTTTTGGAAGCATTACTCATTCTGAAGGCATTTTTATATAAATTCGGTTGCTAACTCTGGATGTTGCTTTTTCTTATTTCGTTTTTTCTTTTTAAATTATTTTATTATTTTATTTATTTATTTTTCCTTTTTTTTTTTTTTATTGATGCATTTTTCTGTTTGTTTGAGTGGAGGGCAATGAACGGGGGAAAAAAAAAGGAAAACAAAATTTTGTGTGTGTGTCTCTCTCTCTCTCCTTTTTTTTTTTTTTTCTCTTTTTCTCTCAGTGCGTTGTGTGTGTGTGTGTGTGTTTGTTGTGTCGGCATACGCTGCATTGCCATTCGGAGAGGTCAATTCTTTTTTTTTTCTTTTCACGTTTATTTACTTCTTTGTTGGTATTTGTGCGACGATGCGGCTACCGAGACGTGTGGCGAGAGTACGTTGGGAGGTGTCAGCGCCATACCGAGAGAGAGAGAGGGACCGTGAATTCATGTACTCGTCGGTGTGATGCGTGTGTCTTTTGGGTTGGGCGATGCACACTGGCCACGCCTCCTAATGTGCCTGCGGAAAGGGACAACTATTTTGTGTGTTTGTGTACAACCGCAGTTATGAGGGTTGTGGCGTACGCGTTGACGCCATTTGTCGGCTGCGAAGGTTGTCTTTACGGTGCCGCATGGAAGCGACAGCAACAAAAGCAACAAGGGCAAAAAAGTAATTTCTTTCAATAAGGAAGAAAAAAAGAGGGGTGAAAAAAGCGATTTGGCGGGGGAGTTAAAGTGGGGGAGGAGCGATGACACGAGTGCATCGATTGAAGGAGAAAAGTGTGATTGAAATGATGTGCGTGTGGTGGTGGTGGTTGTGTGTGTGGGAGACGTACACGCTTTTTGTGGATTGAGGGCCCCGCGGCCACAGCAGCGAGAAACGACGATGAGATGCCGTTTGTTCCGCCTTCTCTTTTTTTTTCTTTTTTTCTTTTTTGTCGTTTTTTTTTTTTTCTGTAGTTTTTTTTTTTTTTTTTTAATGCACCCTCCGGAACTCTTGCGGCACCCGATTTATTCGCCGACGCGGGCCGCGGCGACGCGGGAGGGGCGACAGCAGGAGCAGCGGCCATCACCGCAACGACAACAGCGGGTGCAAGTGGCGGCGAGCTCTTCAGACTCCCTGCGAGGCGGCCGGAGGAGCGGGAGGGATTTGACGGAGGCACAAACGGGGCCGCAGGATTTGCCGTTGGCAAATATTTTGAGACGCGAATTTACTTACATGTCACTGCGGGAGCAGTTTCACAACCGCGAGAGAATCACTGTGACCACCCGACCTCTTGTCCTTGCCTCCCCTGTACTTGATCGAAAGGAATGGCTATATAATTTATTTGCGCCATTCTTTTTTCTGCGAGGGAATTACATGTATGCGACTTTAGTTGAGACAGCGGAGATGGCTTTGTCGAGTAGGAGAGAGCGCATTGCGACAATTTTACCGAGGTCTTATTGCATTTCCGCAGGGGGTCATTTTATTTGGCGTTTTTTCTGCTTACGTTGCAGTATTGCGGAACTCACATACCTTCTTTTTCGTGAAGAAGAAGAACGTGGACGTGAGCCTTACCGTTTTTGCTGCGAGGGTTTTTTTGGATACGAGGGACGTATGCCACGGTCTTTCTTGACTATGTGCTTAGTTGACCTGTTAACATGTGGTCTTCCCTTTGGATACTTTTATCATGGATTAGGAACAACACTCTTTGGCTGTCGACTGCGTTATCTGATACGTTGCCGATACCGTATCGAAGGGACTGTCGCGAAGGATTTTCTTCTTATGCTCTGCTGCCCATTGATAACGGTGGAACAAGAGGCGTTGGAGATGATGATGTACGGCAACTGGGAGCGCCGTGACTTTCGTGCTGTCATGGTGTGAGACACAACCCCTTCTTTTTTTTTTTTTTGAATGTCTTTTTTTGTTTGGTGAAGGGGATGTGGACGCGTTGTACGTCTGTGCCCGCGGAGGAGGAGGGGGAGAAGCGCCGTAGCGGGGGGGGGGGCTGCCGTGGATGGCGAGAGGCGAAAGGGGAGTCGGGGTGGGGTGGGTGGGGAGAAAAGAGAGGGAATTTGTGGTGTCTATCTTCATGAGGCCCCAAGCACGCATGGGGGCGAGGCAGCAAAAAAAAAAAAGCAACAAAAACGTAAAAATAAATTGGCAATTTAATGAAAAGGAGGAACTGAAATGAGGCTGATAAATTAAGACGGAGTGGAACTTGAAATGGAGAAACAAGTACGTATGTAAATGTATGTATTTATATATATATTTATATTCATTTATTTCAGTGTGTGTATTTGCGTGTGTGTTGCTCCTTTTCTTGTTTTTTTTTTTTTTTTACTTTTTCCATTTCTTCTACTTTGAGTGCTTTTTTTTTTTTTTTTTCTGCAGCGATGCAATGCAAATTTTTTTTACTTTTTCCTTCTTGTTTTTCTTCTTTGTTTTTCTTACGGAGGTGCATATATGTATATTTCTATATGTATGTGTGTGTGTGTGTGTGTATGTGCATATGCGTGCTTCATCCTGTTGCGTTATTGTGACGTTTCCATCCTCTTATTTATTTATTTATTTATTTTTTTTTTTACCGCTGCCGTCCTCCTTTTTTCATTGGATCGTCACGTGGTTTTGTCTCATGCACAAATACCGCTTGCTGTGTCAACCTCCACCCTTTCTTTTTTTTTTTTTTTTTTGGTTGGTTTTAATTGGCTTTTCTCCTTTGGCCTGGGAACACACGAACACATATACGCATGAATGTACAGAGAGGGTAAAGGAGGGTCACGGACGGGCGTGAGTGACGGGCACAGCCGCTGGGAAGGAGATCGACTCAAACAAGCGGAAGGGGCGACATGTATGAGGCGGCCGAGCAGCAACTCGCCCTTGTTTCCCGCAAGACACATCGGCTTGGGGAGGTCCTGCGGCAGCAGATTGATGCACTGAAGGAGTTGCGCACAGCACGCATGGCGGCGTTTGCCGAACGTGATGAGCTGCGCCAACGGTTGCGTGTCGTGGAGGAGAGGGCCAACTCCGTTGATTGCAAGCACAACGAGGCGGAGTGTTGCCTGCGGCGTACGGCGGAGGAGTTTGCTGCGACGCAGCTGCTGCAGAAGCAATATGAGAACACACTGGCCGAGCTGAAGGGGCGCCAACGTGTTGTAGTCCGGGTGGCTGGTGCCGCGCCCCGTAGCGGGGGTCCCGCGTGGGAGGAGGCATCCCGGGACGAGTACCCGAAGAAACCACCGCAGCGAACGCAGGAGAAACAACAGCAACAACGCGAGGGAGAAGAAGAAGAAAGGAATTACCGGGCGAGAATTGCCGTGACAGATGAGTGCACCGTGGTGGATTTAGACCGACGGCGCACGTTTGTCGTGGATTTGGCGTACGCCATGACATCTCTTCGGCGACGCATGCCATCGGAATCTGCATTAGCAGCGGCTGCTGGCATTTCTTCCGGCGCGGCTGCATCTGAGGCAATCCCTGCGGAGGACAAAACCACGCAAAATTTTATGATTGATGAAGATCTTTTTGCCACCCTTCGCCTGGAGCATGTCATTGCGGATGTTCTGTCGGGTGTAAACATGGTGTTTCTTTCCTTTGGGCCGGCGGGTGCTGGAAAGACGGAGACTCTCTTTGGCACAAAGGCAGCCATCATCCAGCACGAGATGTTACAAAAAAGAGGGCGAAAACAACAACAACAACAACAACAACAATCTTCTCGTCATTCACGTCGTTCTGGTAGTAATGGACGGGGGATGTCTGTGGAGGTGTTGTCCAAATCGCCCCAAGTTTGTGGGGCCACGGCGGGCCTTCTGTCGCTGTTTGTCCACGGCCTCTTCAACAGCCTTGTCTCGCACGCCGTCACACATGTTAGCATCTCTTGTAGTTTTGTGGAACTTGCCATGAACCAAACCGTTGATCTTCTCTTGCGGCAGCCGGGCAGGCCCGTCTCCGGCAGCGGTGGGAATAACACAACGCTGGTAAAAATGTTCTCTGCGGCGGCGGGCAGTGCGTCCACTGCGTCGATATCATGCGGCGGCCCGGGTGAAGAAGTCACAGCCGTGCGTGCGGAAACGGCTGAAGAGGTGATGCGTTTGTTCTTTGAGGGGCTTGATCGTCTTGGGCGCTGGCGGCGTTCCTTCTCTTCATTTTTGCTTATGGGCGATGATAACGGCAGCAACACGAACGGTCCACAGCCCAAGGATGAGCATGTTGTGATGGCACACCGTGGTGGGGTGTCACATGCCATCTTTGCCCTTCGTGTGGAGAATTTTAACGACAAGGGACACTACCGGCGGTCAATGGTGTCTTTTGTTGATTTGTGCGGCCCACCACCGTCAGGTGCCGGGTCGGTGATGCGGCCATTGACACCGGAGGAGCAGTGGGTGGACGAATCACTGCAGGCGGTGTGTGACGCCATTGCTGCCACTTCAAGCGTTAAGCCGAACGAAGGAAAGAATGATGCTGAACGTGCTGGGGCCGCATTTGATCAGTTGCCAAGCTCGCATACAAATTGCATGGCACGATTCCTGCGCCCCATTTTTGGCGGCAATGCGAAGGCGACTCTTGTTTGCTGTGTGGATGTTGAGATGCACAGCAAAGAGCAGGTGCTGAATGCCATCAGCTACGCCTATTTCTTTAAGCGCATTCAACACCAAGCCGTGCCGTATGATATCCCACCCGAGCTGCAGCGACTTAATTTGCAGATGAGCGCCTTTCTCTCAGGTGAAGGGGGTGACGATGACGGTGAGGATGAGGATAATGACAATGATGTTATAACTAGTAGTGTCGGTCTTGGCACAGCACGCAATTCATTAGCGCCGGTAGATGCAAATTGGCACTGTGAGGGATATTCTCGTGCTTGAGATTTATTTCTTTGATTTACTTTTATTTTTATTTTTATTTTTCCATGTGTGTAAGTCCATGCCTACATGCACCGTGGGCCGGACTGGTAGAGAGGCACGAGCTCCACCGCAAGTTAGAGGGGAGGGGGACAAAAAAAAAAAAGAAAAGAAAAAAGAAAGAGAAAGAAAGAAAAAAAAGAAGGGTATGATACGTCATGAGGGAATACATGAATGATTGTCAAACCGTCATTCTCTTTTTTTTTTTTTTTTGTTTCTTTTCTGCATGCATGTTTACAAATGGGAACATTTCTGCATTATTATTATTACTATTTCCTTTTGGTCTGTTGTTGTTTTTCCATTTTTTTTTTCTTCTCTTTGCTTCTCCTTCTTTTTTTCTTTCTTTTTTTTTTTTTTGTAGTCTTTTGGAGGGGTGGGGAGAAGGAGGGCGTAGGATTGCACGGTGACGTGGCGGACAACAGCGGCGAGGGAGAAGTGAACAACACAAACACAAACACACAAAAAGGACGCATAGAGACAGTTGTGGGGACTTGAAGGAACCCGCTGGAGAAAAAAAATAACAACAAAAAAAAGTGTGGGAGTGACGGACAAAAACAAAAACGAAAAACAACGGACTGTGCGGCTTCTCGCGACGCACGCAGTCAAGCACACAGGGCACATAAGTATTGATTTACCCCCCCTTTCTTTTTTTCTTTTTTTTTCTCTCTCTGGGCGTGTGTGTGTGTGGGCCGGCCGTGGAACAGGCAGCAGCCATCGTACTTCACGGAGCAAACAGAGCAATTGAAGCAGCAACACGATAAAAGAAAAAGAAAAAGAAAAAGAAAAACAAAAAGAAAAACAAAAAAAAAGACAATAAAGGCAAAAGGTAAGTGTGCATATAATAGAAGAAGAGGGGGTGGAGAGTAATAAAAAGAGCCATATATAAATAAATACATACATAGAGAGAGAGAGAGAGAGAGACTGTGCGAGAAAGAGGGATAGGGAGAAGAACGGAAGCCGAGAGGAAATACCGTGCATCCTAACAAATGAAATATGGTCGAAAGGTACTGGAGGCCGAGAGCAAACGCACGGAAAATTCCAGAGGTTATGCACTGCAGGGTGATGATGGGTATCTGAAGCACAATCAAGCTTTCCCTCTTGCCCATGGGAGCCATTCGACTTCGCCGATGCGTAAAAACGCTTACACTGGCGTTTGTGGCAACGATCATGCGGATGGGGATTGCGCCGATGGAGACATACGAGAAAGGGAGGGCGAAAAACCGTATTCCATGGGGATGAGTGATCACCAGATCCACCGTCGCTACCGCACGAACCACAGCAACAAGGATGATGCTTTGAAGCAGACGAATACACAGAATTCTCCGGCTTCAGGACGCCTGTTATATTCTCCTGTATTGAAGAAGAATCGAGTGGAGGCAATATCGCCTGTGAATGGTGGTGCTAACGACAAGGCGACGCGAGCGATGAGCTCAACGGAGGCACGCCGCGGCCTTTTTGACATGAGCGAAAAGAAGAGCACCGGTACAGGTGGTGAGACGGCAGTCACGCCATCACGGTATGCGGCGCCGTGCTACGGTAAACCGAATGAAGGCATTTCTCCATATGCGTCACGTGCGGGTGGGGATCACTACGCGGCTCCCACAATTAATTCCCGGCTGAAGGAATATTCCTCATGGAAGCACGCCCCGTTGACGTTGGGGCTTTCCCTTCCTGACACGCACCGAAAGTGCTCTGAGCCCGTTACCGCAGGCACATCATTGCAGAAAAGAAGCCGATGGGATTTAGCGTGGGGTGATCACGACAACAATGAGTCTACAATAGGAAAGATGGCTCTAACAAGGGAAGGAGAAGGAAGGGCAGGGGTGAATACTTCCACCACCGGCAATACTTCGACGTCGATCCCCTCATCTTTATTTGGTTGTTCTTCTAAAGTTGCTGCAGGGGAAACAGCACGTACCTCAAAGAATTTTACTACGCCTCTTACGGCGCCTTATATTGGGATGCCGAAACAAATTTCACTGGCTCCATCCACATCACCGCCAGCAGCACCACCACCCACATCAGCAGCAACAGCAACAGCAACAGCGAAGACACAATTGACATCTCCTCCGCTACGGGCCGCGGTTTCCCCACACTTTTCCGGCGCATATAGGCAATATCGTCTGGCAAGTGAGTCCCCACAGAGTGGGTCTCAGGAATCGCCTGGTTACAGGGAAAAAAGCCCCTATGCAGCAGCAGGATCATCAATGTTTCCTGGAGAAGCGTATTACGATACCAAAAGACCTGAATCCAGGTTTTCTCTTCTTTATGGTGCTTCAGAAAAGGAAGCGTATGCCTTATCATCTAGCGTTGCAAAAAATTCAATGCTTCATCGCTATTCACGAGGGTTTTATGGGCCACCACTGCTGGACCGTGGTTCTTCTTTTTTAAGTGGATTCATAAACCCGCATAACGACTGTTATGCATGCAGCGTTTTGACTCTTCTGCTTCGCAGTCCTTACTTTTGCCGTGCCTTGTACGATGCACATAAATTGGAGCTTAGCCCCAAACTGAGTGAAACCCCCGACAGTGATGCCTTTAGCGGTGACGGAACGGGTGATATGGGTACAATGTACACAAGATGGTCTTTCATCCCTAATAAGCGGCACCGGGGACCCTCTTTTAACAGTGTACATCAGATTTTGCTGCATTTTGCCCGATTGCTTGAGAAGCCAGAAAAAATTATGTATGGGATTGACATGGCTCCGTTGCGTCAATTTTTTTCTACATCCTTTTTCACTGGGGAACAGCAGGATGCGCATGAATTCTTTTTAAGTGTCATTAACAAACTTGAGGAGGAGTCAATGGAAGAATTAAAGAGCAGGAAAGCAAAGAAGGAAAAGAGTGATGACGGGAATAATACAATGACTTCTGAATATGGGGCAAATCCAATGTTGAACGATGAAAACACGGGAGAAGGAAAGGAAGTTGAAAATAAAATTATCATTGATTCGTCACTTATTTGGATTAACAAGCTTATTGGGGGAAAACTATTGAACATCATCCGCTGCAGGAATGAGGGATGTGGCCATGAAATCGTCACAAAGGATTCTTATATAAATCTGTGTATCAATCTAAGGATCGCAGAAACAATGAAGGTGGACTCTACATTGACGCCACCGTCACCGGCTGCGGATAACAGGGACTTTGCACCTGACGGACCTGTGGGTAGAAGTTTCAGTACACCGCCAGAAGTAAAACTGGATGAATTGCTTTTGCGTAAAACATTTGAAAGGAAATCAACAATTAATTGTTGCGACGACGTTCAGACATTATTAGACCACAACCTCCGATATGTGTCTATTGACAAATACACCTGTGATGCTTGCGGCTCTTCGCAAAACCAGGATCAAGGTGGCAGTCTTTTGGGTCCGGCACCACCTATTCTTGCGATACAGCTGAATCGTTATTATACGGTCGTTAACTCGTATAATGATGTGCGTGTTGTAAAGGACAAAACACCTGTTTTTATCAATAATGAACTTACGCTTTACGCGTTGCGGGAGGAAGGACAGGTTGACTGCGATAAGAAGCAGTTGACTCCGTGTGTACGGGAGGCAGAGCGTGTAGCCAGACTACGAGAGCAGCATGCAGGGAAGAGGCACCAACAGGAGAGAGAGGACACGGGGAAGTTGACAATTGATCCATCTGGGGCGGGAAAAAATGCTTCTAATGGTTCAAACGTTGAGCAGATGGATAAAAAGGAAAAGGAAGAGGAGGAAGATGCCGAGACACATGTGGATGCCATCCGCTGCCTTTATCGTCTACGGGGCCTCGTGCGACATATCGGTTTTTCCCCTTTTGTCGGGCATTACGTTGCAGAGTTTGCTACGGACGCCGCCGCATCAGAGTCGCCCAAGGCTGAAAGCACCACCACCACCTCCACCACCGGCAGCAGCGATGTTGACACGGAAGGGGGCAAGCCGTCAAGGGTCTGGCACATAGCCGATGATATCCGGGTGGAGGTACTGCCATTGGAGCATTTGCAGAAACGGCGTAGTTGTTCTACCGACTCCTATTTGCTCCTGTACGAAAAGGTAGCAGAGGAAGAAGTCTCATGTCCCGTGTGGCGTGTACTGCCACGTGGGAAAAACTGAGTGTGGAGCCCATTCCTTTTTTTTTCTCTGTTTTTTCAGTTCTCACGATGGTCGTATATTTTTTTCTTTTTTGTTGACAATTTTTTCTCACTCTTACTTGCACACTCTATCTGTGTGTATTTATTTATGTATTCCCTGTTGTCTGTTTCTCATTCCCCTCCCTTTTTTTTTTTTGTTGTTTGGCGTGGTTTCAGTGTTGTTTAGGGAAAGGTGAAGCACGTTGAACTTCACGTTGTTTGTTTGTTTGTTTGTGTGTGTGTGTGTGTTTGTGTGAATGAGTAAGGCAGCCGTCTCGCGCCCTCGCGTGTACGTGCGTATACGCCCTTTGAATGATCGTGAGAAGAAGGAGGGTAATGGCGATCTGATCTGTCGTGGTGACCCGCGGATGCCCGACACGCTCTTTATAAAAGGAGAAGACGGTGGGGCGGAGTTGCAGACACGCTTTGATTACGTCTTTGATCGCGATGCGGCGCAGAGTGATGTGTTTGACATTATTGGATCGGAGGTGCTGAATACGCTGTTTAGTGGCTACAATGCCTCCGTCTTCGCATATGGGCAGACAGGTAGTGGCAAGACGTACACAATGGAGGGAAATCGCTCAAAAACGGAAGGGCTTGGACTGACGCCGCGACTTATTAGCGCCTTATTTGAACGATTTAAGGCGAACAAAGACATCACAGACAGTGTCTGTGAGGTGAGTCTTGTACAGATATATCAAGAGAAGATACAAGATCTATTGGCTGGGCAGAAACATCTAGAAATACACATGGACCGTACAGGGCAGTATATCGCACGAGATGCGACATGGGCACGTGTGAAGAGTCTTGAAGAGAGTATGAAACTCTACACAAAGGCGTCAGAGATGCGTGCGACGTCCGCAACTGAGATGAATCTTGTCTCCTCACGCAGTCATATGATTATGATGGTGAAGCTGCAGTGGGATGAGCCTTCTTTACCCGGTTCACATGCGCAGCTGAACCTTATTGATCTTGCAGGATCCGAGCGATTAACACAGTCTGGTGCAAAGGGTGACAGCATGTGGGAGGCGATCCACATTAATAAATCCCTTAGTGCACTCGGTACTGTGGTCTCCAAACTTGTGGAGCAGGCGAAACACAAGGGACGCCGTATTCATGTTCCATACAAGGACAGTAAACTCACGTACTTGCTGCAGTCCAGTCTGGGCGGGTCAAATCTTATTCATTTCATCTTGGCCGTTTCCTGCAGTGCGTTGTGGAGTGGCGAGACGAAGTCGACGATCGAATTTGGTAAGAGAGCCCTACAGTTAGTCCTACGTCCTGTACGCAATGCAATTGACTACACTCGATTGGCGGAAATGGAGGAAATGATTGAGCGTATGCGAAGTCACATTGCGAGCCTGGAGGAGGAATTGCGAAATAAGCGTAGCAACGAGGCAGCCGAATTCTTAAAACTGAAGCAAATCCCACAGCAAGGTGATGAAAACAATGATCGCTTTGCCGAACGTCGTCATCAGAGTCGACAGAAGAAGAAATTAAAGGTACAAACAGAGCTTGCACGCATTATGGCAAACCTACCAGAAACGTTTGATGATTTAACATCACACTGCGTCTTGTTCCCCGAATCGAAGGCGAGCTTTCGTGAGCTTGGTGGGTTACAACGGCTTGTGTACTTTGTAGACCGTTCCGCCTCCACCTTCTACCGGTCCAATGCGGCACAGACAATTGCTAGCGTTTTGGATGATGCTGGGCGGGAGATGTTTCAAGATATTGGTGGTCTGGATGCCCTGACACGGTTATTACAAGTTAAAGAGGAGCGCTGCAAGGAGGCGGCCTGTGTGGCGCTTGAAGCCGCATGTCGTGGTTGCCTGAAAAATAAAATGAAACTTACCCCTGTTGTATATACGGAGTTGGTGGAACTTATTTATAATTACTCAAACCAACAAGTTCAGGAGGCCGCATGTACAGCAGTGGCTGCTATTGTAGATCTGTACCCAGATGCACGACGCAGCTTTGAACGGCTTGAGGTTGTTCCCAAACTCCTTGAGACGATACGCAATGCCCCTGAGGAAGTTGTGAACCTCACGAAGGCAGCAACAAATTGTGTGGGTCGTCTTGCTCATGGGGATTCCGAGATGCAGCAACTTATAGCTTCCTTTGGTGGAATTGATCTGCTTATTGATGTATTATTTAGTCCAGCAGGAACACGTGACCATCAGGTACCCATTCTTGCCTCCTATGCTCTGGTGAACTTATGCTGCAGTAACAAACACAATCTTGACATTGCGCGGGATAATCTACGCTACGGTGAAGTGAAATTTCGTTTACTTGAAGGGCTTGCACGAGCCTTTGGTATAAATGCCGCCCGTGAAGGGTACGGTCGTGCTACTGCTCAAGAAACTGAATCACCATTCCCGTACTATGGTGTCACCATTATGGATAAATGGTCTGTTACCTCCTCCGGTGGCCGGCCGATCTTTTCCACCTTTATGGACAATCCACAATTTTACCTATATGTGACGGAGACAACAGACATTGCCTTTATGATTCAAGACGTACTTTACGAATCTCGTATGTTAAAGAAGAAGAAGAATAATACGGTGTACATGGGTTTGGCTCTTTTTGAGGGAGACCCTGAGCTTTCAAAGGCGGGTCTTAAGCAGCTGGACTTTCATGGACGTATGGTTGAGATTGGGAAATATACTTCCAACTGTGAAAATGTTCTTCATTGTACTCTTCAACCGAGTGAGACCCCATACGTCGTTGTTCCCTTTACAAGTCAACGAGGTCGTCAGACGGAGTTTGCACTTTCCGCATTTGGTGACAAACCCATTCAGCTTACAGCAGTGCCGGAGCAGGTTGGATGGGTGCGTACTGTCTTGGAAGGTTTTTGGACCGAATTGACGGGACGTGGTGGTAGTGGATTTGATTGGCGCTGTAACTCTCAGATTCGTCTGCAACCGAAAGAAAACTGCCGTGTGGTATTTGTGCTATCATATCTTTCCGTGGATCGTCAACGTGCACAGTCCCGTGAGGAGGAAGGGGAAGAACAAAATATGCGCCCCCGTCTACATGGAAGACTATTTACCACTTTTGCTCCGGAGAAGCGGTATCTGAAGGCACTTGTTCCGCTACCACAAAAATCCACCTTTGCCGCCAGTAATAACTTTGCTAGTAACAGCTACATTACCACTTCTGCTAACCTAAAGGCAGGGGAATCTTATGTGTACATTCCTTTTACAGAAACCCCCTATGAGGATCAGTGGCGACTTTCTGTCTACTGTGACACCGACGATGTGACGATTGCACCGATTGAAGGAAATAAAGCGGAGTGGTATTGCACGTCTTCAGCAGGAACATGGGCAGGAAAACCGATTTCTGTCCAAGTTGAAACCAAAGGAAAGATGGTGGCGGTAGCAAGTAGCCCCGGTGTATTTTTACGTATACGCCTGCTGAATACCAAAGGGAAAAAATTGGAAGGCATTGACGCGTATTGGAATTCCGAAGCCTCTGTAGAGTATAAGAGTCAAGGCGTTGTCACCGTACAGGTGGAAGGCATGATGCGCACCGATAAGGGACAAGAGGCTGCTCGAGAAATGAAGTTTGATGTCTTTGTTTTCACAGAGAATAAGTGCACCGTGCAGCATGTTGACTTTGCTGCCGTCCCTAGTACCCTTCCACATCCAACGAAAAGTACCCCGGCAGATCTCCTTAAGTACCCGGTCGAGGTGGTAGACGCTGACGTCCCATTTGACACGATTGATCAGAGTGATGACGAGGAGGAGGAGCACAATGATGTTGTGAATGCCGAGGAAAATGAAAAAGAGCTGCAGAAGGTAATTGCATTACGCAATGAGGAAAATGCTAGACTTATGAATCGTATTGTTGAGCAGCAACGGGAGATTATGCAACTTCGACAAGTACACAACGGCACCCCACCTTCCAACTCGGTAAGTAAAAACACCACCAACGGAAAGCGGCAAAGGAAAAGCAGAAGTGTAACCCCATTAGAGCCGCTGCCGAATATGCGTAAGCAGACTTTGAAGAAGTCGGATGGCGGTGCTGGCGCCAAAGGAGATGCGGAGGAGACTGCAGCAGGCTTAGAGGCCTGGAGTAACCCGGAGAACTCAGAGAAAGTCAGCGGCGGCCCAGCCAAGGCGTTACAGGAGGCGGTAGAATACTCATTGCTCACACTCAACAGCATTGAGCGGCACACAAGGGCTCCAACAGAGGCGGAGTGGGCAGATATGCAAGAAGATTTTCGTGAACTTCAACGCCGACTGTTTTTTGCACTTGAAAAGATTCCTTTAACGTAACCGAAGAGGGGGGAAGATGTTGGGAGGCCTCGGGGAAAGAAATTGGGTGGGGTGGAGAAGTACGCATTGGGCGCAAGTTTCAGAGCGGCGCTAGATGATTATGCAGCCATATCCATATCTATCTATATATATATATATACAAGAGTCAGAAAAAAACCCAAAAGGTTGCGGTATGCAGCGTATGTAGCAGGTATTTAAAAAGGCGGATTACAGTCGCTTGATTATGATTCATGCAGAATTAAACACACATACAAGCACACAAGGAGAGAGAAGCAAATAAATGAATAAAATGCTTCAAAAGTGTGAGGTGTCATTGTTTTGATTTTGTTTTCTTTTTTTCTTTCTTTTTTTATTTTTATTTTTGCTAGATGGAGGGAGTGAGGAGGAGAAGAAGACATCTTCACTCACGCTTTTTCTTTTATTACCAGGAGTGACTTGTATGCATCTTCATTTTGTAATCATTCTTAGTATTATTGCCATTGCTGGTTAGAGCTGTACCTGCGATGGTAGGGAAATGTATCAGCGTATGAGCGAATGGATACCCCGCCTGTGTTTTCTCCTCCCCCATCCTCTCTCTCTCTCTCTCTCTCTCTCTCCTTTAAAGAAAACGGAAAAAAAAAAAGAAAAAAAAAGGGGTCCGTTGGAACGAATGATTTGTGTATTTCTGTGTATACTTGTGTGGGGTGAAGGAGAAGGGGATGAAGTTGGCTGAAAGGCCATGATGCATACAAATACGCATACACACATTTATTTATTTATTTATTTGTATGTGTGTGTTGTACGAAGGTAGTGTCATTGGTGGAGATTTAAAACTAAATGAAGAAAAGAAGAAAAAAAAAAAAAGAGGGATTTGTGGGGCGGGGAGAGAGAGAGAGAGAGAAAAGAACATGAATTTAAATAATCGTTGACCGCCTTTACATACGAGGAGACTGAAACGACAAAAGACACACACACACACAAGAGAAAACGACAAGAAACAAATAAAAATATAAACACATGTACGCAGGCCCCTCTTTTTTTTTTTTTTTTTTTAATATTTGGAATATTTTCGAGATGTGCTTGCGGCAGGCACTCTTTTTCCAAACTCCCATCCAACCGTATATATATATATATATTTCTGTTCATTTATTTATATCTCCACTAATATCTGCACGGCTGGATATATTTATTTTTGTTGTTATTATTGTTCTCTATGGTGTTTGGTTGCCTTATTCGCTTCTTCTTCTTTTTTTCCTTTTCCCCAACCATGTGGTAAAATACCGGAGAGGAACTTTTTTTGTTTTACTCTTCCGTTGGCTGTGGGAGTGTTAGGAGGGGGTGCGTCGGCAAAGGGAGTGGGAGCGGAAAGTAACGTTGGCCCCCTCCATCCGCGGCAGGGTCAACACAAGAAGGCAGAAGAATAATAAAAGCGGAACTCGAAGGAGAAACAAACAAACGAACAAACAAAAAAAGGCGAATTAAAAAAAAAAAGTGCGTGGAAAACATGCGGGTATCACTTTTTTGCCGCTACGACTCATTTAAATCGATGCATGGAAATATCACGTCACTTTTCGCATTGTTAAAGAGCCCCGAGTCCGTGCGACGCGAGGTACGTCAATATGTCTGCCATGTCCCGCGGCGTTACATGGACAGCCCGCGACAGAGAGGGAGTTGGGTGCGTGGCACACTCAATCTTGTCTTTGAGGAGGCACGGAGGCGTGGAAGTTACGCCGTTGCACGGGCCGCGGTGGAGGTGACCCTCGAACAACAGCAACAACAAAAACAGCAGCAGCAGCAGCAATTGACGATGGAGTCGACGTGGGTCAAGAATGCCCTTGCGGCCTGCCGTACCCCGGAGGAATTGCGTGAGATGGAAACGCTGCTCACCCAACATCGTTGTCTGCTGGGCGGGATGGGGGAGGCGGGGTGCGGATTGACCCCCGCAGCGCAGAGCGATGATGTCGTGCTGCCCCCATCGCTGCAAGATGGAGATAATGGCGGAAGTGAGGTGCATGGCACCCCTTCTCTTGTTGCCGCTGGCTACAGTACGGCGGCCCTGGCAACTTTGCGCCAGGGGCGGGATCACGTTGTGACGGCACCAAATGCTTCCTTTTCTCGTTATTTTATGCGCCAGGGACTTGTGGCGGATGAGGTGGAGTTGATGGAGCTTTTCAAAGCCATGCGTGGTCGCCAGCCTGTGGGGTTCCGCGTGCACACCTCACAGATGTACGGAAGAGCAGTGGAGTGTCTTTTGCGTGATCGGCCAGGCATAAAGCCTTTATCATGGCTTCCATCCACGTGTGGTGCCTTTGTTCTGTTGGACACGCCAGACACACCACACAATATACTTCTTTCTAATAGACAGCTGCTGCGTGCACTTTCAAACGAACGACTCATTTCCTTTCAATCGACATCGAGTATGTTGCCCGTGCTTCTTCTTGATCCACGTCCCGGGGAAGCTGTGTTGGATTTGTGCGCCTCACCAGGGAGTAAAACAACTCTTATTCATGACTACATGTTTGGTATATCTTCATCCTCTAAATCTTTGTTGGCGACGGGTTGCATTGTAGCGAATGATGCCATATTTTCTCGCAGGAGGACGCTCTCACAGCGTCTGCAGAGTTTTTCACCGAGTATTGCCGTTACGCAAATACAGGGTCAAACATTCCCGGCACAACCCATCGCATCGGGCGGTGTTCGATACGATAAAGTACTGGTAGATGCCCCTTGTTCTGGTGAAGGCCGCATGCATAGGGATGTCATGTCGTGGCGCATGTGGCACCCGTTAAAGGCCATGGAATTTTTTACTACTCAGGTGTCGCTTCTGCGACACGCGGTAGAGTTGTGCGCGGCAGGAGGGTGTGTGGTCTACTCCACATGCACCCTGAATCCTTTGGAAAATGAGGCAGTAATATCAACCGTACTAGCCGATGGTGAAGTGGAGCTGATACGGCCACCACATTTCATGACGGCGGATAGCGGCTGGCACTTTAGTCGTGGTTTGTCCCATTGGCTTGTTCCGTCACGTGCAGGTGGATTTTTACATACGTTTGCAGAGGCGGAAGCAAAGGGGGAGGAGACCGCCGTGGAACTTTTTCCACCTGAGGGAAATGGGGAGATTCAAAAAGCTCTTGAATCCTGCTGTCTGCGTGTTCTTCCGCACCGTAACAGCGGTGCGGAGGGTTTTTTCCTTGCTGCATTACGCAAAGTGCAACAGGGTTCAGCACCTTTTTCTGCGTCATCCTCAAAGGATATTGCAAGGGAAAAGAAAGTTGCTCTCTCCAGTTGTCAGCTTGTGGCAGAGTCTATTCTGCATGCCTGCGGTACGGTACGACTATCGGCAGGTAACATGTTGTTACAACGACATCTTGGCGGATTCTTTAATGATAGCGCGACACAGATGGAAGAATTTTTAACAAAATGTGGCCTTTGTGCCGCTTGGAAAGAGACCCGGGGGCTTTTACTTATTTCAGAGAGCACTTGGGATCATATAAGGGCCATTCCCTCCACTACCAACTTGTCGTCGTCAACGGCAGCATTGCTGGAGCTGGGCATTGTTGTTATTGAGGCGGCAACAGGCGGCTTGACGGAGAGCGGTGCATTTTACCTGCGGCCTCATGCAACATCGCGGGTGTTGCGCATTCCCTTGTCGGAGATGCAGTGGCTATTGTCCCATCAGGTACTGAAGATATCCCAGCTGCAGGAAGACCCTAAAGTGTTGGCGCGTCGAATCGTGGGAAGCACGGCACCCATGAAGCATGAAACTGAGACAGAGGAGCGTTGTGTGCCACTGCCGTGGGTGGCACAGGTCTTTGACGCCATTGGATCACGTGAAGGGAACTTCATTGTTTGTGGTTTTTCCTCTTTTGTGAATAAGGATGTGGATCATGACAATAATGCGGATGGCCTTGCATCCATCAGCATTCCTGTGATACTTTGTCGTTCCTCAACAGGAGTGGAGCTGCGTTTATCCCTTTCACAGGATGCTCGTCAGCGGTGTTTGGCAGTTATTGGCCGTGTCATTGCCCGCAAGAGACGGACTGGGGCGACAATGGCGGCTGCTGCGGCGTTGGAAAAGGAATACATGCAAATGGGGAGGCAGTACAATACGAGCAGGAAGATGGACAGTGCAGGGTTGGAGGGCCGACCACTGACGTTGCAGCGACAGTACCGACACCTCCACGCATCGAATTCCTTCGGGTCGTCAGCTCCATTGTCTCCCCCGCTGCCCACGAAGACTTGTACCGGCTCTACCACCATCGATCATAAAATCAGCAACCGTAGCGGGGATGGCGGTGCCAACGACGGTGAAAGCCTAATGCATCGTGTAAGAGGCGAATACTTTGAAATTTAAGGGCGCATCAACTCCGCCTTTTTTGTGTATTTTTATTTTTATTTAAGTTTTGAAATGAGTGTTGACCTTTTTTTTTTTTTTTTGTTTGTTTGTCTTGAATCCTTTTCTATTCTTCCTTCTCTTCTGCAATGGGTATCTGCTTTCTCTCTCTTTTCTTTTTTTTTTTTTTTCTTCTGTGTGTTTCAATATATATATATATTTTTTTTTAAAATGAAGACCGAAGCGGTGCGAAGAGTCTGCAACTTGACATCTCCCGCCGGAGTACTTTTAGAAGCAAACAAAAGACAGCGAGGGACACCGCGCGTGTTGGGAAGAAAATCAGTCATTAGGGAGAGAGAGAGTAAAAGGGGTTAGGGCGTAAGGGGGAAGTGAGAGTACACATAACAGCCAAGCCAAGCATCCGTTAAGCGTTTTTTTTTTTAAAGGTGACATCTGCCTTTCTTGGGCCTTTTTCTTTTCTTTTCTTTTTTGTTCTTTTTTTTTTTTCCCCCCACATTTCCCTCATACGCCGCTGCTTCTGCCAACACACAGGTGTAAATAAATAGGAACGAGGGGGGAGATAACAGAAGTGTGTGTGTGTGCGTGTGGCTGGGGGGCAAGGGGGCTGGAAGCGCAGCGCCGAGGAAATTAATTTTGGATAAATACGTAAGTTATTCCGACTGCCGGTATCATCATCGTTGACGAGGGCGCAGGCCGTGAGGGAAGAAAAGAGAAAAAAAGAAAAGAAGAAGGCGAAGAAGAAGAAAAGGGGAGTTAAGAGGTGCAGTTTGTGGTTTAACACACAGAAACGCATTCATACATTCCGTGTGCGATCCTTTTTTGCAGGAAAGAGAGAGGGGGAGAGAGGGAGGGGGCGAACAAAGGTAGGGAAAATAAAAAGTACACACGAGAAACGAAGAGGACGAGAAAAAAAAAAAGGAATAATAATTAATAATAAAAAAAAAAAGGAAACGAGTGGGTTTGCCAAAGGCTTTTTAAAGAAACCGTCAAAACAACAACAACGACAACGACAAAAAAAAAATATAGCCGGTTGTTAGTTGTATTTGGCCTTCCAGGAGTAGACGTGTATACATACATACATTGAGGTGCACAGCTGTAAAAAAAAAAAAAAAAGAAAAAGTTTTTACAAGCGAGCATCACATTTACCGTTGTTAATTTTATTATTACATTGAATTATGCCGTCGTTGAACAATTCGTTTGTTGGCGGTGCAGCCCAACAAGTGGACATTCCGCAGTCGATAAGTACACGAGAAATATTTAAGCGTATTATTGTGATAACTATCCCGCTAAGTTTTGCTCAGCTCGCACAGTTTTCTATCAATGTCTCTGTGATTGCTGTTGTTGGGAGTTTGGGTGTTAATGAGTTGGGCGGTGCTTCAATTGCATACGGTCTTATTAATGCCACGGCATTTGGTTTTGCTTCGGGATTTTGTGGGGCACTGGAAACGGTGCTTTCCCACACATACGGCAGAGATCCAATGAGTAAGTTGTATGGCATTTACACTCAACGCATGTTTCTTTTGTTAATGATTGTTGGTCTTTTTCTTTCCCCAATTATTCTGTTTGCCGATCGAGTTCTGCTGCTTCTTGGGCAGAATCCTGATGTGATAGTCTTTACAGGACAGTACTGTCGTATTTCGGTGTGGGGTATTTTTCCCACCATGGTGTTGGAATTACTGCGACGTTACTTTGCATGCCAGCATTTATCTACTCCTCTTTCCGTAAATCTTGTGGTGGGCGCAGTTCTTTTTCCATTTTTACTCATTGCGTGCGTTCACGCTATGGGGTTTGCTGGGGCACCGACGGGTTGGTGCCTGCTCATGACGCTCATGTCGGGCAGTCTCCTGCTCTATCTCATCGTGACACGAAAGTACAAAGATACCTGGGGTGGTTGGGACGATGCCGCCTACAGGAATTGGGGACCACTTCTCAGCCTTGCCATTCCATCTATGGGAATGATGTTTAGCGAATGGGTCTCACTGGAGATCAACAACATATTTTCGGGCTTTGGCACTCGTGAGGAACTCGCAGCATTTGGTATAACATTTCAGTTATCGGGTATCTGCTGGGCATCTGCCTCAGGGACGTTTATTGCAGCCTCCGTGTTGGTGGGGAATGCCATTGGAGAAGGAAAACCCTTGTTGGCACGTCGTATGGCATTTTGTTGTTTATTCATGACCGTCACGATTGCACTGCTTAACTTGATTGTTGTTTCCCTCGCAAAGAATCTCATTCCACGTATATTTACGGATGATAAAAAGGTCATTTCAATTGTTCACTCGTTACTGAAGTATTTTTTTGTCTATCACGTCTTTGACGCATTTCAGAGCGGCGTCATGGGCGTCCTACGGGGGTGCGGAAAGCAGAAACTTGGCGCATATGTTATTCTCCTCGTGTACTCCATTGTGGGTGTCCCGTTGGGTATTATATTGTTTCTTAAAACCGGCTTTGGGATTGGGGCACTGTGGTTTGGCCCAGCCTTTGGTGTAATGGTGGCGGGGTTTCCTGTATACATGTACATACTGTTGTACCACATCAAGTGGGGAGAGTTGAAGGCACACACGGATAGTCAAGAGTTGAGCGGTGTCATTGTGGAGGAGAATGTTGATGAAGTGCTCGTGTGCAGCAACGATTCAAGCGAGAAGAGCGAGAACGGCGAAGAAGGCAACAGTAAAAATGATGACAAGAAGACTATTTTAAATGGCAAAACATCTCAAAATAACACCCCGACACTTACAAGATCGCCCTCACCCCAACCGATAGGGCGACAAAAGCGATATCAGGTAGAGACAAACGTCGCACGGGAGGGCACTGAATGAAACGGATTACATAAGAAAAGTCTATTGGTGCTGTTGATTATTTTTAATAAGCATTTGTGAGAATAAATAAATCTCTCTCTCTCTCTCTCTCTCTCTGTGTGTGTGTGTGTGTATGCGTGTATGCGTTTTTGTCTGTGTTTCTCTCTCTAACACCCTTTTTGTTAAGCACCCACATATATATATATTTGTGTATGTATGTATCTACATACCGCAGCGAAGGAGGAGGCATATGGAGCGGTAAATGCATCCGAACAAGAAAAGGAAAGAGGAAAAATAAAATAAAATAAATTATTTGAAGACGTACGAAGAAGTGACGAAGAGGTTTAAAAAGTCATGAGGCGAATGAAATTTGATTTTGAACGTAATTAGCTGAAATATGCGGATGATGCTTCATGTATTTATTTATATATTTTTGTGTATGTGGGTTGAGTGGCTGATGTTTTTTTTTTTTTTTTTTTTTTGCTTTTGTAGGAGGAATAAGAGAGAGAGAGAGCGAGAGAGAGGTGCGGAGAAGGAGAAGGAAAAAAAGGCGAGAGCGCTGATGCCACGAATAAAAGTGTTTTCGATCAGTCATTTATGACGTCTTTCTCTTTTTTTTTTCTTTCTTTTTTTTTTTTTTACATTATTGACTTTGTAATTTTACCGCCTAGTTGGTTTTTATTGCTGATAGTTGTGGCTGTTTGTGATATTATGCGTCTTGAAGGGAATTTTTTGAGGTTTGCTGGCCGTGAACCAAAAGAGAGAGGGAGGGAGTTGACATATCGACAGAATTATAATTTATGCGTGATGGCGGTGTGTAGAACACAAATTTTTTTTTTTTTTTTCTTTTTCTCTCTCTCTCTGTCTGCCTGTTTCTGCGTAAAGGGAGTATATATGTATATATGCATGAGTGGGAGGGAGAGAGAGAGGAGGGGGGCGGCAGCGTGGATGTTATTTCTATTTATGTATGTAAAATGTACTTTCATTCTTTCTCCTTTTTTTTTTTTTTTTTACGCAATCGCTTTTTTTTTTTTTGTTCGTTTTTTGACTTTTGTCAATCCGCGGTGTATGTGTGGGGGGGGGGGGGGGGGGGAGAGGAGGAAAGATCATTTGGGCAGGCAACACAGTATGAATGTCGGTACGTTTTTCAGCGGAAGAGCGGGTTAACGACACCAACTGGACGGGTGTGTGCATTCATGTATATATATATATTGATGCGAGGCACACACACGCAGAGAGAGAGAGAGAGAGAGAGAGAGAGAGAGAGAGAGAGACATGCACACACAAACACAAACACAGACATGGAGTGAGGCCCGATAAGGGAAGAAAAAAACAACAACAACCAAGCATAAAAGCCATTTATGGGTGTATACACATATATATATCTATATATTTATATATCTATTTATTTACCTTTACTGTCATTGCTCTTATTGCGTGCCAATGTTGTTGTTGTGTGTTTTTTTTCTTGCGCTTTTAAATAAATAAATAACATTTTGTTTCTGTGTTTCTGTTTTTTTTTTTTTTGCATGTGTTTGTTTCTCTTGTTTTGGGTTGGTGAGGTGGGAAAACGCCTGCGACGGCATGGCAGTGATCCCAAAGGCTGGCCAAGTGTTTCATGGCGAGGATGGCACCTTCTCGATCGTTCTCCCGGATACATGCGATCCGAATAATGAACCGACGCAGGAGGAACTGCTGGACTACGCGAATTGGCTGGGGATTGACGCGGAGAAGGAGCCACATCTGCTGTGGATTGCGCGTCAGGGCCTGCGGACGCCACTACCAGCAGAGTGGAAGGCATGTCGCACAGGCGAGGGCGACGTGTATTACTTTAACTTTTTGACCGGTGAAAACAGCTGGGAACACCCCATGGATGACGTGTTCAAGCGTAAAGTCGAGGAGGAGCGTGCAAAGCTGGTGGACGGTGAGGGCGGTAGCAGCAAGACGAGAAAAAAGAGCAAGTCATCATCCACTGCGGGAGGAAAAGGTGATAGGGGGGTGGAGAAACGACGTCTCGAGAAGGGTGCGGCAGGTTATGTGGCGTCGCCCGAGAGGTCTGGGAAAGGGGGAAAGCTGAGTGCTGTTATGTCACCAACATCATCGACGTCCACATCGCCCATGACGAAAGGGCTGCCGGCAACTGCCCTGCGATTTGGTCGATTGGGTGCCCTAGGAACTCCGGAGGCAACGCAGCGTCTTACCCCGGACGTGAGCGGATTGTTGAAGCCATCGAATTCTGGCGACCGCTCGTTTACGCGGTTTGGTTTTGGTGGTGCCAACGCGAGTACGAGTAGTCTGGGCTTGGCTGCCGGTGGGATCAGCGGCGGTATCGGCTCGGGGAAGTTGTCGCTGACGAAACCGCCCGATGGGGTGAAGGAGATGGAGGCACAAATCCGTCGGCGCATCGATGAAGAGATGGACACCCGACTACGAGCCATGCGGACACGCCATGAGAAGCGGATTATGGAAGAGCGTACGGCGATGGAGAAGGAGCTGCAGAAAGTGAAGGAAGACGGCGAGTGTGCGGTGGCGGCTGCGCAGCAGCGGCATGCGGAGGGGGTGAAACAACGTGCGCAGGCGGAGTTGGAGTCTTTGCGACGGGCGCTGGAGAAGGAACACAAGGAGACGAAGGGACGTGTGGAGTCGCTGCGGCAAACGTTGCAGCGGGAGCGGGTATCGATGGAAAGTACCCTCCAGGAACGTCTGGAGGAGGTGAGGAAGAAGTTACAGCTGAGTCACAGCGAGGGATTAATTAGGCAACGTGAGGCGTCGGCGGCGAGGCTGAATAAAGAGAAAGCACGACTACTAGAGGACCTTGCGCGGCGGTTAGATGCGGAGGCAAATGAGTTGGAGAAAAAAACACAAACAACTGTGGAGAATTTCAAGAAGACTCTCGAGGCCGAGCGGGCTAAATTGAAGGAGGAACTTAACGAAAAGGGGATGGAACATGGCGACCGCAGTGCGTCCAGCGCGGTAGCGGAGGCCGAGGCGCAGCGGGCGTACGAAGCGGCAGTGCAGAAGGCAACAAGTGATGCTGCAAGCGCCATGGAAGCGTTGCGTCGTGAGTATCGCCTCAAGGAGGAGAAGCTGCGGGCTGCAAAGGAGGAGGAAAATTGTCAGGAGAAGGAGTCGTCCACGGCGATGACATCTTTTGGGGACGCCAACAAAAATGATGGCCTGAAGCGTAGGGAGGCGGAGGCGGAGGCGGAACGGCTGGAGCGAGCGCTGAAGCAGAAGATCGCACAGTACGAGGCGGAGACGCAGCGGCTGGTGGCGACGAGGCAGGCGGCGATGATGAAAAACATCGGGCCATTAAGAGACAATGCAGAAAGTGGAGACCAGGGCTGCAGCAACAAAACCAGTAGCAAAAATGCCAAAGTGGGTCATTTCGCGACGGCAGCTGTGCAGGAGCAGCGACGGTTTGAGGTTGCGTCTCGGCGTCTAGAGACAAAACACGCGCAGTCAATGGATCGCATACGCCGTGAGCATGAAATGATCCTGCGTGAGAAGAACCTTTTCAATCCACGACAATCCTCTGGCTACGTGGAGAAGATACAGGAGGAACACAAGTCGTGGTTGAAGGCACATCCACCGATAGCGCTGACGATGCCCCAGCTGGAGCCCGTGCCGGCAGTACCCGGTTTAATGGACGTGTCCCCCGTCCCAATGCCAGGCCAGGAGGAGCAACAGAAGTCTGTCGACATTGCGGTCACCGGCGCGAAGAAAAAGAGGGCGGTGGAGGATAGTAAGAAATTGGCGGAAATGGAGGCGGCGCTGTCAAGAGAGATGAAAGAGGCGGTGGCTGCGTATCATGAGAAGCGGCTGAGGGAGATTGAAGCCCAACTTACACAGTATCGAGTGGCACAGGCGGAAGAGTACCAGCGACGAAGTTATCAAATGGCTGCTGACATTGCAGAGGCGGTATCCCCACAGTCATCGCAGCTTCGAGGAAAGGCGGAGGATCCGGTGCCGAGGTTGAATGAAGTGAGTCTTGAGGAGGCAAAAGTGCGTGAGGAAGAAATAAGACGGCATCTTCAAGGACGTATTGATGCATTGGAGGAATTGAAATGGCATGCACGGGATGAGCTGCGACAGAGACAAGAAGAGGCTCAAAGAAAAACTTTGACTTTGACTCCTGCAACCACTGCACTGCAACGTCCTCCTCCTGTGCCAACGGACACGTTTTTTCCAGGGTGTCAGGAGCAAAAAATTTCCCCGCGTCCTTGTCAGCAACAGCAGCAGCCACACGGTCTCCTTACGCCTGTCTTGAATCGCACCTTATCGACCATAGCTCCCGCCAACAGTCTGTGGAGCAGCACACGACCGAGTCCGACTAAACCGTATCATTGGTTGAGTGCTGATAATGCGGCGTCTTCTCTCTTCTGGCAGGAGAACCACGCACCGTCAGCAGGAGCGGGAAACGTTGAAAAGGTTTTGCCATCATCACTGTCGCAACGCGATGTTGTATTGGAAGATCGTCTACATCGTGCAAGTTTATTACTGAAGAAAAAGAAGGAAGAGTTACGTGCCCAGCAGGCGCGCATGGAGCGGGCCCGTGATGCATGGCGGCGGGACATGGAAGAGTGCCGCAGGAAACGTGACCGCAAGCATGCTTTAATGTTGCGAGAACTCAAGGAGGTGCTTGAAGAGAAGGCAGTACAACTTAACCATGAGGTGATGGAGCTAAAGCGAGCCACTCAGTGGCTGCGTAAACGCACAGTGCGCTATAAACAAACACTGAATATTCAAACTTCTAATCTTGCTTCTGCAGAAGAAACGAGCACGGCAGATCACACTGCTGCCAATGGCTCCGGACGAATCATTTCTCTGCTGAAGGACATTCTCGCGAATACAGAGCTGCTGGGGTCATATGTGGCATCAACGAAAAAAACGGATGCCAAGACGTTGCGTCATGGGCGGTGCCGTTCACCTGCATCCCCTCCAAATTCTCGCACCTACCCCCACCCCAGTCGTCATGGGGACGCATTGTCATCATGGAAAAATGCCGGACCATCTGGCGTCACACGGTGGCTTATGGAGCAGTGACTGCCCACATATGAACTGCGAGGGGGAGATATGCCTTCTGAGATGATTGCTGAATTAAAAGAAGGGTGAAAAATGACAGGAAAAAAGAAGGTGAGCGAGTGGGGGAGAGAGAGAGTTTTTGAGAGAAAAAAACTATATGAAACTTCATGTATATTTTGCCTATAATGCACGTGTATGCTTATGAATGCCTGTCGCTCTGTAAAGATGAATGCCATTGGGTGAGGAGAATTAGAGAAGGAGCGAAAGAGGATTTTTTTCCTGCTTTTTATTGTTTTAATTGCCATGTCTATTCTTGCTTTCATCCAGCCTGAACGTTTTTTTTTTTTTTCTCTTTTACCTCCTTGTAAAACCATGACCTTTTCCTCTATCTTCTATTTTTCTCTTTTTGTTCTCTCGGTGTTGGGCGGTGGGCGAAGGAAGAAGTGAGGGAGGGATGCAGCAACGAGAAGAGGAAATAAGGAGAAATGGGGCCTCGAAATTGTGGTGTGACTGTAATTCAAGAGGGAGGAGAATTGTTGTGTGACTCGGCAGCGTGGTGAATCCCCTTTTGTACCTGCGGATCAATGCTCATTTTATTCACACGAAAGAGAAACAAGCACGACGTATGTATTTTTTTTTTTCTTTTCTTCTTTTTTTTTTTTTCTTTTACTCCATGTGTGCGTCTATGTATGTTTATAAACAACGGAACGGAGAAGGAAGGAAGGAAGGAAGGAACGAAGGAGAGGGTGCCGGAACAGTTGTCGTGGCATTGCCATTACTGTATATATATATACATTTTTGGTTGCATACAGTTTTTGGTTTGGGAGGGTGGCTACAGCTCAGCTGTCATTATGGGCGTTCCAAAGTTTGCGTCATGGCTAACGAAGAAGTATCCTGAAATGGTATCGGACGTCATTCCCGCTGATGTGCATGGACTCTATATTGATCTCAACGGCCTGATTCATCCTTGTTGTCACAGTGAGCGTGACCCTTCCGTTGCAGCACGGCCGGAGGAGGAAAAACTGCAGTGCATTTGCTTCAAGGTGGAGGTTCTTTTGGCGACAGTGCGACCCCATGATATTTTGTACATTGCGACGGATGGTGTTGCGCCAAGGGCCAAGATGAATCAGCAGCGCGCTCGGCGTTACATGAGCCGAGCAAAGATCGTGAGCTCTGGCACAGAGGTTGTGGAGGAGGTTGTGAGGGAATTTACCCCAAATGAGATGGCAGAGGTCGATGACGATCTGGATGACATTCGTCAGTTATTGATGCAGGATGCCTTATACGGTGGGGTCAATTTTCAGGACGACACATCAGAGACGTTGAATGGCGTTGCGAATATCGCAGATTCACTCACTCCTGTCACGCCTTGCCATGATAAAAGCAACAACCATGAGGCCCACGCTGAAGCCTGGGCTGCTTTTGACGGCCTCACGGATGGCACGCTGGAAGTTACAGAGTTTGATAGCAATTGCATCAGCCCGGGAACGGCATTTATGGTGAAGGTCACGAATGCGATCCTTACGATGGTGCAGGATAAACTGGCCAACGGGGACCCGCTTTGGGCGGGACTTCGTGTGGTATTCTCCGGGGCCAACACCCCAGGCGAGGGAGAGCACAAGATCGTTGATTTTCTTCGCACCCAGTCGTCATACCCCGGCTTTAACGGAAAGGGGGCGCACGTCATTGCAGGACTAGACGCAGATCTGATCTTTTTGTCGCTCTCGCTGCATATCCCACACATACTTCTTCTTCGAGACAGGGATAGGAATCCGTATGCGGTGAGGATGCATGACCGGCACCGAGAGAAGATACAGGTTCAACCTCATAAGTTACACACGGAGAGTGAAAAGAATACCCCCGATCTTGCACGGGAATTGGAGGAGAGGACGGAAGGCGACGAGATTCACGTCGACGCCGATAACGAAAACAGTAAAAACTCCTCCAGTGAAGGGTCAGGAGAAGGGAAACCGCCGGGTGTGCTAGAGGCAAACACCAATTATGAGTATTATGACATTGATACGCTAGGCTCATGTATTGTGTCGGAACTTCATGGCTTGTGTCAGCTTAAAAACTTTACTCCCAACAACAAGAAAGCTTTTAGTCCGGAACTTCTGGTGTCATCGAATGGATACCACTTTTATCGCCATGCGGGGTGCGCCGATGGCTCGTTACGAAGCGTTTCAAAAGGGGATGATAAGAGCCATCATGACAAGGAAAGCTGGCGCAAGTTTCTTCCATGTGCTTCACAAGCGAACAGTAAAGTTATAGATGATTTTATTGTGATGGGAATGCTGATGGGCAATGACTTTCTTCCACGTCTCCCTGGTGCGTTTTGCGGTGAGAGTGTCATGGATAACCTGCTGGAGTTGTATGTTTCCAATGTATTGCCGTATGGATTTCTTACAAGTGGGTATCATGAGATTTATCTGCCACAGTTACAGCGTCTTCTGCGGTCATATGCGAAGATTGAAACTGTAAAATTTCGTCGGTTTGCGCTAAGCAACAAAAAAATGACTCCCAAAGAGGCAGCAGAGCCGCTTTACTCGCCGTTGGACGAGCAATGGCGACAAACGTACTTGACATCAACGGGACTTACCGGCAACCTTGAAGAGGCGTGTAAGAAGTATGTGGAGGGGCTGCGCTTTGTGTGGCGTTACTATAGCGGGAACGCGTCAACTTGCAGTTGGTCGTGGCACTACCCATTTCATCATGCTCCATTCGCACTGGACATTGCTGACTACTTGCAGCGATGCGACCTTACGAACTTACCGCCCCCACCATTGGAGACAACGCCTCCTGACATGTTTTTGCAACTTCTTTGTATTCTCCCACCGACGAGTCACGCGTTGTTGCCAGCTGTTCTTGGCGACGTTATGTTGAATCCACCAGAGGAACTACGGGAGACATTTCCCAGCATGTGGCGTGTGGACTACACCGCCGCCTACGGGAAGGATTATCTTGCAGAGGTTCTTTTGCCATTTGCCAACGTGTCAGCACTTCGTGAAGTTGTTGAGTCATCACGGCCATATTTCACGAAGGAAGAGCAAGAACGTGGGCGGCAGATCAATTACCACCTTGTGTTGGGTTCACGGACGTCTGGGTTTGAAATTAACGGCAACATCTGTGAGCTCAACGCAAACGATGCTGCCATATGGGATCTTCAGCGAGAGGGGCTGAGGTACATGCAGCTGTGGGACAGCCCGCCAGAGCGTGGTCGGCCCAAGACATACTCTTGCACGGCTTTGGTCCCTTGGGTCACGTGCGATGCGAGGGGACGAGTACACAAACGGGAGCGTTTATCTCGCAGCGAACGGCGCAAACATAGGGACGATGTGCTATCCGATGCTTCTGTGACACTGATCAACAAGGGCCCTTCATTTGCCGCGTACCTCTTTGGTTTTACGGCATCTTTCTTGTTGATGGCCATGACGCTTTTCCCCTGGCTATCGCTTTCTATTTTGCAGGTGCTGGCCGTGAATCTTACCGCTGTGGCGTTTAGTTTTTTTATAGGTATTGCCGTGCATGACCCCATTGTTGGGAGCGGCGTTCAGCGCAATAATATTCGCTTTACATTTGTTGATTGGCTCTGCGCCGGTTGCCTTTCGTTGAATTTTTCCTGCAATGACAAATGTTTTTGCTGCCGTTTGCCTTTTGATTCAAAGCGGTGCTTAGCCGTTTTCAGTGGAACACAGTCAGTGACGCCTCCCTTGTACGATCCCAATCACGCAGCGTACATGGAGACTGCCTGCCTTGAAATACCAGGGCGCAAACCGACGGATGCATCTTGATGAAGATCTCTCTTTTTCTTCTTTATTTTTTTTTGCAGGATGTGTGGGAAGGCGGCACGTTAAACAAAAGGGGGGGAGGGATGAATGGGGATAAGGCAAGAGGTTGAATGTGAGCTTATGGAGAGATTGTGTGTATGTATGTGTGTGTGTGTGTGTGTGTACCGCAATTGGGCAATGAACGCCAAATGGAAAAAAAACGAAAGTGAAGAGGAAAGAAAAGACTATGATGTGTTTTACATGTGTTTAAAAACAACAACAACAACAACAACAACTAAACCGCGTTACTGTGGGAAGAATTTACATGTGCGAGACGCAAGAAAGTTGGCGAGGGGAGGGTCGATATGAGGGGTTTATCTCTTCTTTATGTTCGTTCCACGTATAAACAGACACGTTTGTTCATGTGCCGATACATTCATATGCATGTGCGGTTTCGCATGTTTACATGACGCGCACTTTTATTGTTTCTTCTTCTTTTTGTGTGCACTTCTCTTGTTTTTTTGTTTTTGTTTCTCCTCCATCCTTTTTTTTTTTTTCCTTTTTATTCATGTG